TTCCTCCTGGTACTCTGCACACTTTATGCTCCCTTTGGGTGGCAAATGTCAAATGCATTCCTCCTAGTATTACTAGTTTGATAGTGATTTCCTAAGTTTACCTAGTGCTTTCTGTCACCATATAAGGTGGCCATGATGGAAGGAGGTGCACAGATTATCCATTATGGACTAAATGTGTGGTCCCCCCCATTCATACGTTCAACGCCCAATGTGACTGTATTTGCAGATAGGTTCTTCGTGAGGTAATTAAGATAAAATGAAGTCATAAGTGTGGCTCAAATCTGACAGGACTGGTGTTCTTACAAGAAGAGACACCAAACACATGCAAAGCTTTCTCTCTCTGCTTGCACGAGCTGTGGAAGGGCCATGTGAGGACGCAGAGAGAAGGCAGCTGTCTGCAAGCCAGGAAGGAAGCTTTTACTAGAAATGGAATTTGTTGGCACCATGATCTTGGACTTCCAACCTCCAGAACAGGGAGAATATAAATGTCTGTTATTTAAGTCACCCCGTCTGTGGTATTTTGCTATGGCAGCAGAGCTGACTAATACATCCAGGCAACGATGTGACTGTTGTGGTCCAAGCAGTGTACACAAAGCACAGCATGTAAAACTACGGCCCCTAAGATCTCTCACGTATACATTCAGCATGATGTTTGTAACCCCCCTATGGGCCACCACTGTGATGTAGGAGAATAAGTTAGATAAAACCCATCACTTGTTAGCTACACAGTCTTGAGCAAAGCCCTCAATTCCTCTAGAGCCTCAGTTTCCTCCCGTTATAAATGTTAAGCCAGTTAAATCTAGCCTCTCCACCGAATTTAATAAGATTCAGTACTATTAATCATTTTTCATCCACCATGAAGAAACTCATTGCATGAGTGTTTGCATGTGTATGATAATTTCTAAGTGTTCAAAAGGAATATTGTGTCGGTTTCATTCATTAAAGAGTAAAATACAATTTTAAAATGTCTGTTATCATTCTGGTGAGAATTTTTCTGCCTTAATGTCTGCAAATGTCACTGCCTTAACCTTCTGGTGGATTGATCAGTGAGTCACTCACTGGTGACACCTCCTCTGTCACTAGGCATGAGGCTAAAGCTGACCTCTAGATAGTGGAGGCTTCCTGGAAGTCTCTTTGGGTCATCCTAGGTCTGCTTTTGTCAATAGTTCCAGAAAAGTAGACACAGTTCATGGATCATATTCATTAATATCAATAATAGAATTCACAGAAATAACAGTCAATAAGAATTCATGAGGCATCAACCTGTTAACAGTAATAATAATGGTAATCATAATAGCTCAGATAGATGGAGACTAACTTTGGGAAGCCCCTGACAAAATGCATTATCTCAGTAACCCTTTAGGTTAGATACCATTATCCGCAGTATATAGGGAGGAAACTGAGGCACAGAAAGTCTAAATAACTTACCCAAGGGCCTATGGCAGGAAGTGACAGAGTAGGTTTGAAATGCTCCAGGGGACTTGACTGCTGTGCTGTGCCGTCTCCACTGCAGGATCCCCAATGCCTGTCATCTGGGTCATGGGCTTTAGTTCAAGCAAGTCTCCCTCCTACCCTCTGTGGTAAGTAACACCAAAGAGATCTGATGTTGGGGATGTTCCCACATACTTCTAAGTGATACGCAATTGTTATTTCCATTCACAGAAATCCTCCTGAAATCATTCTGCTGTATAAAATCTGTATGTTCCTAATTTAAAAATATACAAAACACCCTTCCATGTCATTTGAATTCACACTAGTATTAAGGAAGACAAGTCTGTATAACCAGCCTCCTGGAAAGAGAGAATGCCATCTCCTCAAATCTAAGTGCTGTGTAATCATTAATCTACAAACCAAACCAAGATATTACCTGCTCTGCAAGTAGCAAACCAACCAAAATTCCTAGAGGCTGCCAAGGGAACAAATCATGCAGAGAAACTGCTTTCTGCTTCTCTCTTGAAAGCCCTGGCTGTTCCCAGGACCTTAAAACTCATTATTCCCCTGCAAGTGAACAGCAGACTCCGGTAGCTGGCTGCTTCTAGAAAGTGGCAGCAACACATCTAGGTGTCTTCAAAGTTTGCTCATGACAAGGAAGGCAAGGATGGGAACTCACGGGAGGGGAAGTAAAGAAAGCTTTGAGCATGTTTATGGACCAAGAGGGTCAGCAGAGAGAGAGAGAGAGAGAGCAGTAGTAAATATAAGGAGAGAAAAAATTGATAGAAACTGATCCAGGGGCAAGTGAAAGATTTGCTCCAGTGAAATTAACATGAATATACGTGGAGATGGAGGGCAGCATTTAATTTTTACAGACAAGAATGAAGATGAGTAGAAATGCAATTTTTTAGGTAGAGAAAGGTATTTGTGTCCATTGGCCTCAATTTCCTCAGAAAAGGTATGAGAAGGGTGAGGTTTGGATGAAGGAGGCTTGAGGAAGATGGAAAATGTTTAGAATCAAAAGTCAATTGGAAAGCGTTAAAAGGATTTCCAAGTAGAAGGGACTGTGGCATTAAGCTAAAATGGCATAGCTTATAGTGGACTGCTTCCAGAGCAGAGGACACGGGGTTTAGTCCATTGCTACTGAGTTGGGTCAAGCCCTTAGATAACTGTTTTGTGCCTGACTTTCAAACTGAAACCTACTCTTCTGTGATTTATCCACGCTTCTGTGGTTTACCTATCCTCTTCTTGCAGGACAATCCAAGGTCCTCAGCATGATACACAGGACTTTTCCTAACTGGCCCCCATTTGTGTCTCCAGCATTAGTTTTTGCCTTCTGCCACATTGAACTTAATTGTAGTTCCTCCAGCGCCTCAAGCCCTTTCAGTGCTTCTGGGCCTTGACCAAAGGATTCCCCTGAAATATTTTTCCTTTTAAATAAAATAACGGATTTTTTTTAAAAAGGCTGCCTCCTCTGAGAAGCCTTCCAGGGTCACCTTAGGTAAAACTGATCATTCAGTCTCTCCTTTTGCCAGCTTTATCTATGCTCTGTATGTGCTACTAACATCATTAGTCACTTCATATTTCAGCTATTTTAAAATGCACTTTTATTCACGTTTTTTGAAAATCCCTAAAATAAGCCAGATGTGGTGGCACATACTTGTAGTTGCAGCTACTCAGGAAGCTGAGGCAGGAGGATCAGTTGAGCCCAGGGCTTGAGGCTGTAGTGTTATGATCACACCTGCGAATGGCTACTGCACTGCACCATGGCAACACAGGTAAACGCTGTCTAAAAAAAAAAAAAAAAATCCCTTAAATTAGCATGCAACTTATAATCAATGGTGTATCGTAGTTTAATTAACAAGATTTTAAAAATTTTTGGGTGATACTGAAAAAAAAAAAAGTACATCTTACATTGGAGAGCATTTGGTGAAATGCAGCTTCATTGTCTAACTTTCTAAAGTGAGTGTAGAAGTGTTTCTCAGCCAGGCGCAGTGGCTCATGCCTGTAATCCCAGCACCTTGGGGGGCTGAGGCAGGCGGATCATGAGGTCATGAGTTCAAGACCAGACTGGCCAATATGGTGAAACCCCGTCTCTACTAAAAAATACAAAAATTAGCTGGGCACAGTGGCTTGTGCCTGTAATCCCGGCTACTTGGGAGGCTGAAGTAGGAGACTTGATTGAACCGGGACCGGGAGGTGGAGGTTGCAATGAGCCAAGATCGCACCACTGCACTCCAGCCTGGGCTACAGAGCGAGACTCCATCTCAAAAAAAAAAAAAAAAAAAAAAAAAAAAGTGCTTCTCATATTGCCTCCCACCCCACCCACGCCGCCACCCTTGGCAGTGTCTGGAGACATTTTTAGCGGTATCAACTTGCAGGGAGGAATAGCTGCTGGCATCTATCAGGCAGAGACTTGAGATCCTGCTAAACGTCCTCTAATACACAGGACAACCCCCGACAACAAAGAATTAGCCAGGCCAAAATGTGAATAGTACAGAGACTGAGAAACCCTGATGTAGAGAACCAACACTTACTTGGGTATATAATAGGCTTTATTATGTTTGATTTTAAATAAATATTTTACAGTGTATAGTGCAACTTAATGTATAGTAACTTTTTCCAAACCTTGGCTTGTACAGAACAGCAACTCTTGAGTCATACTCTAAGCTCTCTTCATCATCCCTCCCCAGCTCCCTTCTGCTAGATGCCTCAGGGGAATCAATACAGCAATGCTCCTGGTCAAAATCTGAAAGCCAGAAGGTCTCAGAGAGATTTGTGACCTTAAACCAATTAGGTTAGTTAATGGCAAGTCCAGGACTGAAACCCAGCCCCCCAGATTTCTGCAATTTCACTCAGGCTGGGAGGCAGCTGCTCCGTTCCTGGGCTAAATTGGCTAACACAGATTGGTACCTTAAGAGGAAATGTGCCCTACCTATATGAGCTGGGTGACTTAGCAAGAGTTTAGCATTAGTATTCACGCTTCAACACCCGGGACCCACCCGGCTCTCACCCCACTTTATGAGAATTTAGGTTGACTCTGTAAGACCTCTCAGCTCTGTGGGGAATTGGATTTATGCAAAAAATAATTGTGATTCATGAATGTGAAGGAACTTTAAATAAATGTAGATGATTTCATCATACAAAAGGCAAAAGGGACTTAGTAAGTGTATTTAAGGCTCTGGAGGAAGCGTTATTAATTTGGAAAGGGGGTGCAGGGAGCCGTCCTCTATCCCTACAAGCTGCACGTGTGGAAAGGGCCTTTCTAGTTCAGGAAGCTGATTTATGTGAGAGAGGATGGAGTTCCAGGAGGAGGTTTTGGCTAGGCCGTCCTCAAATCTCGGTTCTGCAGCCAGGCAGGCCTCAGGTGAATCTGGGGCTCCCTGCCCCTCCTGCTGAGTCCCCAGAGTGTCCCCCGCCTCCTTCCTTCTCCCACTGGGACTGAATCGCGGTGAGCAACAGCGCTTGGGATTCTGCGACCCACCCATCACCATCCCAGCAGCCCCGCCCTTGGAGCATGGGGGTGCACCCTGCATGCCAGAGGGGATGGCGGGGGCCAGACTACTAACCTTCAGGTGGATGGGAAAAGACCGCTCCTGCTGGAGAGGTTCCAGCAGCGTCTGCTCCACGCTGACCAGCTCCGAGGTCGAGTCCACCACGCGGGCCAGCGCGCTGCGCATCGCCATCCCGGCCAGGGTGCAGGGTCGGCGGTCCCGGGGGAAGGGCAGTAGCTCAGCGCCCCCCTCCGCGCCCCGCACCACCTCCTCCTCTGGGGAGCTCGCCCGCGCGCCGGTCCCCCGATTCCTGGCCCCCACGCCCCCACCCCGCTCCTGGCGCCCGGGCCCCTGCCAGGCCCGCAGCCGGCCTGAGCGACGGACTGGGGCGGTGGACACGTGGTCCGGGTTCCCAGGGGCGCCCGGACCATCCCCCCAGCCCCATTCCTGCTGCAGCAGCTGCAAGGTCTGCAGAGCCACCATTTGGTGGCCAATGGAGGCCACTAAGGGCGCGGGGCTGGCCATCGCCTCCCCTGGCGGCTCGGCGCGCTCCGCTTGCAGGTGGACCAGCAGCGAGGGAGGCGGGGGCGCTGGGGTCGCCAGGGTCACATTTTCTAACCCGCACTCCTCAGCCTGCGAGTCTCACAACGTGTGTGGTCGACCCCGCCCCCGGCTCGGAATCCGTGACCGCGCTGGCCTCTGCCTTCGCCTAAACTCCGAATTGGCGTGTTCTGACCCAAAGCTGCCTGACGCGCCGCTCGGTGTGCACTTGAAAATCAGCGAAATGCTGATCGCTGGTTCTTCCCCCCTCTTCAGCGCTTTGATGAGAAAACGTGCTGCTTTGTGCGGGTGCATCTATCGGCGGGATACCCCGCCCCCACCTCCTTCGAAGGACGCCTGCCAGTGACCACTGAGGCCTGGGAGGTGGGGGTGCAAAAGACCTGCCCTAGGGTGAAAGTACCAAGAACTCTAGAAAAACTTGCAAAGGGAAGACTGAGCCATTCCTAACACGAGGGGAATTTTCAGAAACTTGAAGCAGCCTTCAAGGCCTTGCATTGCCCAAACAAAAGGAGGACTCGTGTATCTGGAAGTTCTGCTCTTCTCTGCTTTCTTTGCTTGGTGCCACTTGAGCACCGAGAGCCTGGTGAATGAACCAGCACCAGCAAGCCCTAGGGCCCAGGCCAGGCACTGCCCAGAAAAGCCCAAATGGTTTTGTGTGGCACTCCCAACAAGACTTAGGCAGCAAGGTGGAAGTTAATCCTTTTATGAGCCATGAACTCAGGGACAGCTGTACAAATAGTTGCTGTTTTTAATTAAACCCAACATGGCTACTTCCTTCACTTAGAAAAAAGAGACTGGCAATGTTATGCTTTGATAGATTCGAAACCATGGGTGTATGATCGATCATACTAAGAAAATATAAGATATTTGAGAGGAGTGGTATGGAGGACCAGTCCAGAACAGCCTGGTTCCTGCTTGCTTTCTGCAGGGAAAACCATTAGACGACCCAACAGCCCAGTAGATCTGGGGCAATGGTGCATGTCCATGGCAGACAGGTAGGCCCTGGCAGACCGAGGATGGAATTTCATTCCTCTTTTAGGAGCCAAACTCCACCCTTGGTGCTGTGGAGATCTGGAGAGGCCTTTGAGTGAAAAGGCCACTCTGGTTAGTCTGTGAGCACAAAAGGATCATCAGAAGAGATACAGAGAGGAATGTGGGTCCTTTAAGGTTTCTTTAACTCTGGGATAGTATGACCCTATATAATCCTCCCAACTTGCCAGCAAAGGTTCCTTCTCCTTCCCAGTGTTTTCTTTGCCTATGAAAACAAATCTGAATGCCAAGGTAAAGAAAACCTTTCTTAAACAAAAACGAGTATGTTCACACTAATTATAACTAAGTAAAAATGCATGTCTGTGCATTGACAGAGAGGAAATTACTTTGGAGGGAAGTAAATAGTTTAACGTTGATTAGATTTTCTTGCCATGAAGTTTCTTAAGTTCATACTAAAAAATAGAAAGAGAAATTTTTCTTTTTTAAAAAAAAATCCTCAAATGTTGAAATATATTAGGTTCAGCAGAGACTAACCAGCAATAGCAAAATGAACCCCTAATTTTCACAGAACATGTCAGATCTCCAGGGCTGCCTCTCCTTCCAGATACACAGGAAATTCAGTTTCATGGGCTAACCCTTCCACTATCAAATGGCTGACTGCAAAACTTTCTTGACAGATGGAATTCCAGCCAACAGCAGAATTGAAATCACTAGACACAGGCTGACCTGAGGCCCCACTCTTCTACACACCAGGCTGAGTCACAGCCACGAGGCCAGCTGAACCTCAGGGGGTATGACAGAAGGGTGCCAGAAAACCCTGGGGTCCGAGGGATGGTACATGCTACTTAAATAGCTGCCTGCTTTTTCTGGTATCCGTAGGAAGCCCTGGATTATCCAGCAACTGAGTGCTTTGTCTGTCTTGGCCATGGGTCACACTGTCTTTTGCTGTGACTTCAAAATGGCTTATGTTCCAAAGCTAGAGATATGAGAACCTAACTCAGGAAAAGTTTTCATAGAGTTTTTAGATGAGTCAATGGCATAGCAGATCTACCTTTGGTCTAAAACACCTCCGTAGTTATGTATGTATGCTGTGCTACCAGACCAAGTAATAGACAGCCTACTTCCTATCCACTGTACTCAGAATTTGAGGCTACTCTGTAATAAAGGGCACATTCAAAAGGACAAAGTATTAGACATCTGCTATGTTTGTTTCGCAGCATCTATTTCACTATTTCATAGAAGTCATACCCTCATTTCTCAGTAGATATGCTTTTTCCTCCACACTCGGCCCATGAAGTCAGATGGGATGAACCCATCTCACTGCAGAAAGGTACTGGATCATCTAGCCTAAGTCCCATCACACATCACATCCCTACAGCACATGGTCAGAAATGGGCACATGACCAGCTAGAGCCAATGAGATAGTACTTTTTAGGATGCTTTCAGCTGAATGTACTGTAAAGAGAAAACAACAGAAGCAGAGTATAGAACCAAACAAAAAAGTGTAGGCCAAGAGATGAAACAGCAAAAGATCAAATTCCCTTTCAACCAGAAAACTCAACATAGAATAGTTTAGTCAATAAGAATAATTTATTGTCTTACATCACAAGAAGTCCAAAGGCCGGGTGGCCCCAGAGTTGGTTAATACAGCAGCTCCTCAGTGTCATCAAAGCCCTTGGTTCCCTCCTTCTCCCTGCCATGCCATTCCCAGCACATCAGCTCTGTCCTTGATCTTTGGGCTATTTCTCCTATGGCTACTAGCGGCTGCTGGCATCATGTCTAGGCAACAACATCTAGAAGAAAAGGCCATCTTTGCCTATGTATTCCTTCTTGAGGGCAAGGAGACACTTCTCAGAAGCCTTCAGCCTCCCTCTCACATCCCATTGGCCAGAAATGTGTCACATGATCTTGCCTAATCAATCATAGTCAAGAAGAAAGAGGCCACCATAGTCAAGAGCCTAAGGTGACCTAGAACTCACTATAGGAGCTGGGGCTGAGTCTAGCCTCCCTTGAATCAATTAGTGGAGGGAGGATGGAAACTACTTGATATGAAACAAGGTTTTGTTACCAAGCATCAGCAATGGCAACAGAGCACAATGACGAATTTGCAGGGGTTTCTGGGTAAAGAATATATCAGATCTCCAGGGCTGCTTCTCTTTCCCAATACACAGCAAATCCAGTTTCATGGGGCTAATCTTTCTACTGTCAAATATCTGACTTCAGTGACCCCTGTGCAAGCAAAGCTGAGAATATACAAGTTCTCAGGCCTCTGCAGCCATCTCGTGAGTTTGATGGGGAAAGCCCACCTGTGAATGAGCCAGCACTCATGGGGAGAAGACATTCATGAAACAAAAGCCAACAGATGTATAGAGAGAAACCGTGGCTGTGGGGCAGCATTTGAGCTCCACATTCAGCAGCACAGCAAGACAGCTCCACATCTGAGCTTTTCAGTTATACGAGCCAGTAAAGTCTCTTTTTGCGTAAGCCACTTTGGATTGGGTTTACTGCCTGTTGCGACAGAAGGAGTCACAATTGAAGCAAATAGCATGACATAGAGGAAAGATAGCATGTTCATGGCATGACCCTGTGACCCAGTGCCCCTTAGTCAAAGCACTTCCATAAGGTCCTTCCAACCACTTCCAGCAGTGCTTCTGCCATTCACCTAACCTTTCTACGGTTTCAACAATTGTGGGAAAAGCTCTTTGGGTAACTCTGATGGGAGCATTTTAAAATGAGCACTGGAAACATTCAGTGTCCTGTGGGATGGAAAAGAGAAGAGGATTGAAAGCTCAGTGAAGTGAGAAGCAATTTTCCACCTGTGAATGGGCAAGGTTGAGTGTTGTCAGATAAACGAATATCTTGGCACTTCTATTAATCCAAGGTTTCCTTTCCCACATGAGCAAAAGATGCAAGTTCCTATGTGGAAGTGTGGAGAAGCCAGGCACAGTGAGAACCTGAAGGGGCTGGCAGAAGGTACAGCTCTGTGGAGCCGTCCTCAGAAGACTTGGCAGAGCACAGACACATCTGAGCCCTGCTTATATTCTTTGGCATTTTTCCTCAAAAGAGATCCAAGAGAATTCCAGAAATGGAGCTGTTAACCTTCAGCGCACCCTGGTGAAGTTCATAGGTGAGGTCAGAACAAAACATGTCCAAAGAGACGGAAGAGTTATTATTCTTGAATGAAAATTATGATTGAGGAGAAACAGATGCTGAAGAGATACACCAAGATATGAAAATGTACTGCAAAAGAGAAAACAATGGAACTAGGGCAAGGTGTAGGCCCAAGAAAGCAAAAAATAGTAAATTCCCTTTTTTAAATGTACCATTGTAATGTTTGAATATGCCAAGTTATAAAAGTAAATGCACATGCCGTTCTAACTTTGGCCTAAACATTTGATTTTGGGGGTAAAACAAAGATGCAATACTGCCTTGAAGTCTCTGAATTGCCAAAAACAATTGTTTACATAGGATGGTGTGCTTTCAGAACATCGTAGATGCACTGCCTTCCCAAACCCTGTGAAGCTGGTGAAGCTTAATGAAACTAGAGAAGAAAAAATACACAAGAGAGGGTAAAGAGAAAGAAAATAAGTTAAAACTGTTAACTCCCACCTGCCACTCCAGTTGTCATCTGATGGACATTTGTGCCTTTGCAATTTGTCAACACAAAATGCAATTCTTTCTGGACATAGAAATCATTGTTCTTGGTTCTATCTTAATAATCAGGAATTTGGTTTCAGTTTAATAATCAGTTTATTTTTAAAGGACAGTTCTTGATATTGGCAGAAAGAAATCAAATTGGATTTTTTAAAAGTCAGTATAAATTTTTTCTAATTATTGTAGCTTTGGCGGATGACTTCAAGTTTGGGAGCGATGGAATGCATGAATTTTCACGCTGCCTATGCATCATTTCAGTAAGGCAACCTTGCTGGATATCCCGCTCCATTTTGGATTGTAAAATCTAACTCCTGGGGAATATCCTTTCCCTTGGAGAGAAAAATTTTAAAGCTTCTTGGTTTCCTGAACCATTTTGATTATCTATGTAGATATGGCTTATAGTATTGAAATGAGGTGGGGGAAAGAGTAGTAGTGATAAAAATGGAGAGGAGAAAGGTAGGGAGTGTTTCAAAGATTTTGCCAACTAATTTCCAGGATCTTTAACCTTAACGAAAAAAAGTGACTATATCACTTTCTAGGATCATCCTGTAATTTCAAGTTTCAGTAGGCATTTTACTGTGATGAAAAGAAATGCTTGATTTGGATTGATATATTTAAATTTATTTTTATTTGTTTATTTATAGTGAGACAGAGTCTCACTCTGTTGGCAGGCTGGAGTGCAGTGGCGCG